ATGACTCACCGAGACTGGTTTACCATATAAAACCGTTTAATAATATACATAAATCGTTCTTACAACAATCTAATGCGGGCAAGAGCCTATCCTACAATGGGTTTCTGTCACAGTTCCTAAAAATCGGATAGTTCGAATGTTCAATTGGTCCCTGGGAAGCTTTCGGCACTGTGGACGCAGAGAACGATGGCTCCGGGGCACACACCAGCACTTGTAGTGATGTCCTCGGTTGACAAGTCAAACCTCGACGATCCTGGACGTGACCTCGGCAATCCTAGAGTGGACGGGTTGGCGAAACCAGTTCCTAGGTCGTCGGAAGAGCCTTCGTTGCGTCTCGGTCGGGAGCACCAAATCCCGACAGGTGAGCACTACACACCAAAACCCAAGACCCCGTAAAGTTCCCGAAAACGCGGTTTTATCGATTTTTCCACCGCAGTCGCCTCTCCATTGGTCTCTCCTCATCACATGGTGACAATTCGAAACCCCAGGAAGGGCGCGGGAGAGGTCAACATCGCGTCGGAACACGACTCCTCTCCAACCTCGTTTTCCTCGACTTTATCTATTGTTTAAAATCTTTTAACAAGACAAAAGGTTCATTGTTTAAATCTGATCTTTAAGTTCGCTCTTTCGCACTATGAAACTTGACTCATTTAAAAAGTCGTTAATGGCCTGCTTTCGGACCCCGTTTGGGTCCTCACATTTTCAAAATAGTAATAAGAGGGATATCATGTGACAGTATTTACTCTGATATAAGTTATAAAGTATGAAAAAAATATAAATATAAACACACACTGAAGTATTCACTGTTCACATAAAAAAGTATTGTGACATGTCGCTACTTTGGAAGAAAACCGGCACAACTCAAAATTACTAGTTTTGAGAAAATTCCATGCAAAGATTTAGCCAAAGTTTAAATGAATATCACTTATCTCCCACATAACTGCTCCCTAGTGGTCGAATATGCAAGTTAATCTTGTGACACTCTTCCACATATAAATTTACTACATTTTCGTTTTGATTATGATATAATCGAAAAATTGCACTTTTTTGAGTTATGCCTGTTTTCTTCCAAAGTAGCAATATTTGTCTCTGCTGGTGTTTACATCACAGTGCTGGAAGGGGATGATGGTGGAGAGAGAATGCTGTTCTACATCAACTTCTACTTGCCTCCTCTCGATGTTAAAGGCTGAGAGTTGTCAGGTTTGTCTGAGTTGTCATCTTGATTTTATTGTAAATGGCATCTCACAAACATGTGTAGAATAGATTGTGTGGTCACATGCCTCTTTTCATTGTGGATGACTTTGTAGCTATACATATCAGGATATAGTGTATAACATTTTCAAACTGCTCAATGTTAGAATTCATTGATTCTAATTTTGCTAATGTTGTGTCCATCAGGTTAAAAATAAAATCAGCTAGTTACTTTGTTGTAAATTTCTTGATGTCTGGAGTTGGTGATTCAATCAGCTTATTTCCTTTAAAATTTTCGAATGCCTCTAACTTTAGTTAGAGGCATTTGAAGGTTAACTAAGGTTATTAATAACTAACTAAGGTTCGAACTAACTAAGGTTATTAATAAGCCCTCCATTGTGACTCACAAGAAATTTTATTCTGTTAGAGTCATTCCTGTCATGTCATCAATGCTCACTACCAGCTTAATTGTTGTGTCAACTCAGCACCTGTCTCAGGATTTGTCTGCTCTCCTTCCTTGAAACTTATAAAACCATTGACTATTTCTAAACAGTTTTTTCCACACAGCATTCACCATTGTCTGCTTGACTTCATCCCATGACACCCTGATGTTTTTCCATAGCATTAAGGATATTATAACAAAAAACAGCACATACACAAACTGGAACTGTAATATTCAAAGAAACAACATGTAAATGCAATATCTAGAAAACAAGTACTGGTCAGAACATTTTCGGTCCTCATCGGAAAGAATACAAAAATGATTCTACTCATATTAATCAAATATTGACACATTCCAATTTTTTGACCTTCAAAATGATGTTTGAATGAGACAGTGATGCCCAGTTTACATCATAAATAAATAAGCAATATATTTTTTATAAGGTATAATGTAAAAATATTATTAATAAAATTAAATTTTGTGGAAGTCTAAATAATATTTCCAGGCTTGTGGTACTGGAATACAATCTGAGTTGACACAATTTCCATTCTTCTCAGCTCTATAAATTTCTAAGGCCACTAATGATCCTTAAGCCTGAAGTTTATAAGTTCTGGGACTACATCAAGTGCATTAAAAGTTTACTTGTGTTGTGAAAAAGTGGGCAAGGATTAATTAATCACACAGCTGAAGATCCTTAGATAAAAGCAAAGCAAACCACAAAAGAAGTCATCAATTAAGAAGCAATACAGAAATATCTTAAATCTTAGTTTTATTGTTGCTTTTTATCAGGAATATTTAAAGTTTAGTTTAAGTAATTGTTTAGTTAAACCCCATCACCTCAAATTTTTCTGATGAGCACCAATCAGTTATTTTTAATAAGTTGGTTGCAAATCTGTTGTTCTTTTTTTGCAGTCGACCATGAGTTAGGAGAAAATGGCCTCTGAATTCCATTGCATGCAAAGGCAATGCCAACCATGTGACAGTTATCTTTCAGTGCACATTGCAGCAAATTGGCCAGCACAAGCATATAATAGGAAAATAAAGAAGAAGAGAACAATGGGAAAGATGAGAACTTACTGGTAGAAATTTGGTTGTCTTATGATGACAACTCCTCTCTGTCATCATTGTCATCCACTGTATCTTCACAGCATCGACTGTCACTTCCATTGTACATCTTGCTGATGGAAGTAAAGAATGTATCCTTCCTTTCTAGCTGGAGAACTTTCTTCGCTGGTAGAGGAACTCATACAGATGGCATGCCATTTGGTGGTTCCAGTTCCTGTACCTGGGGACAATGGCACCAAAACCTTTCCATATGTTGTGTAATGACACTGTAATGTAAACACCAGCAGAGACAAATATGTCACAAGACATTTTTTATGTGAACGGTGAATACTTCAGTGTGTGTTTATATTTATTTTTTTTTTCATACTTTATAACGTATATCAGAGTAAATACTGTCACATGATATCCCTCTTATTACTATTTTGAAAACAGCAATAACTCCTTAGTTTCAGAAGTAGAATAATACTTGGACAGCAGAACAATAACATATCCACAAACCTCATAGACAGTCCAGCAGTATGAAATCCACACTTCAAATGTTTTTGGCCTATTCTGAAGTCCCTCTTCAGGAATAATAATCCTAAAATAGAATGCTTGACATTCCATGGAATATGCACTTCAAAAATTTATCACATTGAATTCAAAATTAAAAATTGATTACATTGCCAGAAGTATGAACAATTAGTAGATGTCTACTGCCTTACAGAGAAATATCATTCATAACAGCTTCTACACTTTGGAAACAGACTTTTTTCTTTTGTAGTTGATACAGTTACACCTTATCACCTTAAAAATTTCTAATATGTTCCAATAATCCTAATGATCTCTAATATGTTCCAATAATAGGGTTGTTCTTAATAGAGTAGCTTGCTGAAGTATAGGAACATCTGATATCCATTATGAAAGATGTTTCCTTCTGCTATCTTGTTTTAACATTGCAGTTTCTTATGAAATTACACCTAAGTAATCTACAAATTTGACTTACACAAAATATGAGTTATGTAACAGACTGAAAAACATAACCCTTATGTAGTTGAGGTGTTATTGGACTTCCTTGGTCTGCTCAATTCCAGATTTTTCATCCATTGAGCATTTGTGGGACCAGACAAGATGGTAAGCTTCAGTCATCTATGAGTGTGAGGGACTAAAGTGGCAGTTACAACATCTATTGGAAAATCTGTCATTGGATGGCTTACTATGTCTGTATGCCTACATGTTCAACCATATCTTTGCATATAGCTAGAAAAAAGTAAGTTTTGTAAGGTACTAAAGGTTCTTTTAAATTATACTGTTCACTGGGAAATTGTTTCTTTGCTATGATGTTTTAATCACTTATCACGTGACATCATTACATTTACATTAATAAAATTTTATTCAATTCTATCATCTCCTCGTTGGTGCATAATTTTTTTTATCAATGAATATATTTATTTAAAAAGAGAGATATTACTTTTACATGAGTGACAAGCTCATTTACATTTCAAACTGAATATCCAAGTGATCGCAACTGATCAGTTTCTAACCTATAAATTTAAAGTATAAGGAATATATATTTCCTGGTCACTTTTAAAGTCTATTATTTTGGTAAATAATTTATTATTTCTGCCTTTTCTTTTTCTATTTCATACCATTCAATGGTCTTCAATAATAGAATTTTTATACTACATTACTAGAATACTTTACAATTTTACTAACCTCTAATTTACCAGAATATTTACCAATCTGCCAGATTTCCATAACAACTTGAAACAGAAAAAGCAGAAAATTATCTGCATTATTTTATGTTATTGTGAAAAGAGTGTCTGAAGAGAAAAATTTCAACGGTAATGAGAAATCTGCATATGAATGTTTCTACCTGGCAGAAGATGACTGTGAAACAGGATGAAGATGATATGAATAATACAAGCAGGAATAGATAGAATCTGATAAGCAGATCTCTACCACCTTTTCATCAAAAAGCACTGCTGTTCATGGATTCAAAAGTAACAGGAGAAAACCTTTAAGTAACAATGCAATAACTAAGGTTTTTATGATAATCTTTCAATAAAGATTTTGAATCCATTTCATATGGATTAATCTAAAGTTTATGTTTGAATCATACCAAAAATTATGTGAAATATTACTAAGGGACAAGTATAAGATCCAAATCCCACCTCAAACAGAAATTTTCTACACAAATCCTAGGAAACAGTGGTTAAATCTGGAATCTTGTCTAGTTTTCTGTGGTGGACGCGTGAAGAACAAATCAATTTCTTTTCGCGTTTATTCTCCGGGATGATACTAAATACAAGGAAAAAGTTACCTCCATCGCTGGGATAAACGATGTCCAAATCATAAGCAGGCTTGGAAGCCAGATCAGATTCGGTTCGTTCCTCCTTAATTTCAAAGTTGTTATCGTCTTTCTTGTCTTCCATCTCCATGGCCACAGTGATTTTGGACCTGGCCTTCATGTTCTTCCAGCATCTTTGCAGCTGTCCTACACTTCTTTTATTAACTCCATGGCGACTATTGTATTTCGAACACAACTCATGCCAGGTCTCTTCTTTCTTCTGAAGTGCCGAAGCATCATTTCTCTTGTCTTCGATGACTGATCTGTATTCTTTCACCAAATTTATCAGCAGCTTCTTTTCGTTGGCTGTAAAATTCATACTTCGTTTCCTGAAGGTGGCCATGACTAATCAGACTTTGAGACCCTCTTAGGTCCTCTATTAAATTATGCATGATTTCAAATGTACCATTTGCTCTCTCTGTTCATTCTGTACCCCCAATCTTTCATACTACTTCTATTCTTCCATGCTCTAGACCTCTCAAAATTCTAGTTGTTCTATTTCCAATAACCTGAAGAAAATAAATTGGTCAAGAACTATGAGCACAATTAATTCCCACTATATATTTCTATTTTCCTAATAAAGAATATCTAACATTTGATCAAATGAAATAGTTAATGCACTTACATACTAATATATTTTATGTCAAAAGTGTCAAAGTTTTGCAAATTATCTTTTGTTCCCATTGTCAACAGTCATAAATTTCTCACAATTTGTCTGAAAACTGTTCTACATTAAAGAACCCAGTTAATCAATTTAAATAAAAAAATATTACATTTTCTAACTGAATTGACATTCAGTTGACTGATTGAGAATTAACATTTGTCAGAAAAGGATAAATCTGTTACACACACAATAAATTCAAAGTACAGGTTGTAAACATTCTTTCAAAATCTATTACATTCAAGCAACTGACAAAAGCAATATGCAAAAAATAAGCTCACAGCAGTTTTGGTGTAATTAGTATGCAAGAAAATTTTTCAAATAGTCTTTTCTATTTTAAATATGTTGATGGAATTGTTAGGGTATTCAGGTTTTGAATATGCATCCATTATTTTTCTTTAAAGTAATATTTAATATTTATTAAAAACATCTCATAACTTATCACGTAAACCAAAATGAACACAAATAATTTTTTAAAAAGAATTTTTGAAGTAAAAATAACTTTTTTAAGCAAAAAATACCTTTAAACAATAAACTTTTCTTGTTATATATTAATATATATTGCAAAATGTTAAGATACAACAACAAACTAAATTTCTATCTACATTCTCTTCTGTATTTTCATTAATTTGAAACTATGTTACGAAACAAAGATCCTTGAAATAAATACACCAATCACTTAATAAAGTTTACACAATAACAACTATTTTTACTGAAAAACTCTTTTTAATAATAAACTTTTACAAAGCAATATGAATTACAATTATAGGCATAACCTTTGTTTATAAACAATTTTGTTTAATATGAAAAATTAAATAAATGTTTTGAGATTTTTTTTCCATTTGGATAGTGTTTTAAACACGGTGCTTAAAGTCAAATTAGTTATACGAACTTTCCGTGAATACGATCAACCGTCCGACCAGGCAGTACCCAATCGCTGTCATCATCACTAGGTTGCTGACTGTATCTAAATACACAAAAAATAAAGAAAAAGTAATTAGTATTTCATTTGTTTAATTTAAAAATCATATATAACAATTTAAAACAAGGATGTCATTCTTTACATTCATACTGATTTGGAACCACAAAACACACAGTAAACTCTTGATTATTTGGTGAAAAATAAAAGACATTTCAATTAATCAAATTTCTAATAATTTCTTCATTTGTATAAAATTACAAAAACATTAAAATCTTTTTTGTTTTTACTATTTTAGCAAATATTCAATTTATTTTCCCATAACTATGTTACAAGTAGCTAGCTATAAATACGGTTTGAAAAACAAAACAGCATAAGAAATTAATTTTGGTACAGCAATGAAAAAACTTGTAAATAGCACTTAAGTTATATATTATTTACATTTCTACTCATACTAAACAAATAACTTTTACTTGAGTTTTAAAGAAATTTTTTAACAATATTATATATAGTGTCCCATATAGTGTAATCCAACCACACGCTGTCATGAATCTTACATATACCTTGTTGTTAACAGAACCTGTCTGAATTTTATTACTAATCTATTTACAGAAGCTTATTAGAAACTTTACCCTCTGGGTACTTATGAAGATCATTTTGCACTGCAATCAAAGATCATATACAGAAATGAGCCTCACTGATAAAAACAATTTCTCTTGCAAATACACCATATTCTCTCTTGCACAGCAATGAGAACTCTAGTTGCATAGCTACAGGAAAGGTTTACTAATTTGAATGCCATACTCTTCATTGGAATCAACAAGTTGATTCCAATGAAGAGTATGGTGTTTCTGTTAGCAATTTGTATTTCTCAGAAAGCTAACAGGTGGTTGCATTTTACATAGTCAAACCTCAAAAACATTTTAATACGCATCCTTTTTTATTAACTCTTCTAATGCTTTCAGTCAGTTGGTTGACCTTCTTCGGGAAAAAATCAAACAATTTCAATTTCTTGTTTTGGAGTGCTTTTAAACTATAAAATTTTCTGTTATCAATATGTGAATAGATAATTATAATGTATACAAAATACTGACATGTACAAACATACACATAAACTAAACATAAAAAAAAATAAATAAATAAAGTAACACAACTGATAATGTAAACAAGCCACAATTGTGCCTATTTCTTTAACCATCCATTTTTCATACTAATTCAATCATATTATGCCTGCACTCCACGCTGCTGAGACTTTACTCAATTCTCTAAAGTTTATTGCTTGTCCTGCCTGGTTGATCTTGTGTACTTGCCCACTTCTGTGTATTTACGGTGTCACATCTTGAATCTTTTGTATTACTTCTGCTCATTCCCATTCCACTATAACCTCTGTCAGGTCTGCATATTAAAACGTTTTTGAGGTTTGATTGTTTTTAAATGCAGTTAGAGAAGAGTGCATTTTATGTAGGACATGCTGTATAAGTTTACAAATTTTACTTAACTTTCAATAAATTAGTTCTTTATATATGATATAAATAAAAACATTACATTCATTAAAGTAACATTGTATACAATTTAAATTATCATCATCTTCAAATTCATCAAACCCTGACATCATATTGTCAACTGTTAAAATGAAATTGCTTTTTCTAAAAACCAAAATTTATCAGTATGTAACAAATATTTCTGTTCTACCTTATGCTAATATTAGCTTATTTTGATAAATCTTCATATTTCAAACATTTGTGTATATTATGAACTTATTTCAAATTAAATAATATTAACCAATGTGAATAATGTTTAAGTGACAAATATTTTCGTTACCACTTCTGGGCACTTCTTCAGGTATCTTAATTCAAAACAGTTAGATAAAAACTAACTGTTGAGTAAACTAAAACTAAGTGATAGAGAAATGGTGTATATTGGTTCCGCTAAATGTTCAATGGCAGTCAGAATATGGGAGCATAAATCTGACATACAGTATAGTAGGAGTACCATTGCACGCTCCACTTATGCGACAGACCTGGATATTATGGCAGACTGCTCCAAAGCCAGAGTTATCCTTACAACCTCGCACCTGAAACACTTCAAACAGTTAGAGGCCAACAAAATTTTTAAGTCTTGCAGCAGAATGTGCATTAATTTTAGGAAAGAGATGTGTCTGTCGATGGCATAGCAGGCTATACTTGACAATAACATTTAATTTTCAATCGTATTTAGAAGCGAATGCATGCACAGTAGTTTTCTGCATTCCAACTCAACCTAATGTTCAATCTTTTTTAAACATCTTACGGAGAATGCATTTGAAATCAATATCATTTGATTTATATTCAAATGTCAATGGCCAGCCTGTTTTGAATTAAGAAGAGACCCGAAGAAGTGCATAGAAGCAACAATGAAAACATTCGTCACTTAAACCTTATTCACACTGGTTAATTGGTTGGTGAGTCATACATTTTATATACATCCCAATGTTGTGCAGTTAAATACTCTGTGTTTATAATTTTTGTTGAAAAATAAAATTACACAAATTTTTAATAAGCAATTTATTATGAAATATAGTACTGTATAATAAAATTGCAACTGATATTTTGTTTTTATATCAACAGTATTTACTTTAAATGTCATTGTTAAAAAAACAATAATGCTAAATGGGCATTCCTGGTATCAATGTTTACTTAAATGTTATTTAATACAATATAATCATATATAAAATTCAGCATTGCAAAACTATGCTTATCTTATATCAAGAAACACTTGCTAAGGAAAGAATAGAGGATAGAGATTCCATAGCATATATAATCTGTTTGGTAAAAGCCCAGAATTTTTAGTACAGTACTCAATTACATTGCACCAATGAGTATATCATGCTTTTCCCATGTTTGACAGATACAGTAGCTCCCATTATATTTTTTCTGGTAACTGTATTTTTACTTGTTCAATAATTATGATGCAGATGCTCAATGATCTGACACTTCCCTATTTTCTTTCCCGCCCTACTTACTATCACTTCCTTTTCTAATTTCTTAGAGGTAAAGTCTGTACACATACAGACAACCTCTCTACTCTTTTAATGTAATGTGCTTTTTCTTTGTCTCCCAACAAGTGCAATATAACAAGGGGTTACTGTATTATTTTTTTATACATACTTATTTAAATTAAAATAAAACTAACAATAAAATGTATTAAAAATATAAACATAATGACAAATCTTTTGAAATTAATTTGAAAGTGCTAATTAAAAATGAATAGATATAAAAGCAATAGTTAATAGAAGGATGTTTAATAACAGGAAGGTGTTAAATTGTTTAAATCATTTAAAGTTTGAAATAACATGTTACAAATTTCATGAAAGAATGGTTTATTGTTGTAACATTGGCAGGCTTAAAGGACAATTGCATTGCATGTGTGAAACATCATCCCATGATGTTTCACACATGCAATGGGAACAACTGCAGTCAGCTGTTGAACACACTGCATCATCTTCAAATAATATAACTAAACTATGAGGAACACATTGAACAACATTTCCTGCATTACTATGGCATATACCAGTATGTCACCATAATGCTTTAATGAATGAAATGCTTTTTAATTATGTTTGTTTCTCTGCTTGTAGCACCATTTACCCTGTAGTGGACAATTTTTTAACAAAATTTTTGCTTGCAAAATCCTTTTCTGCATCCTTTGAACAAAATTTAGTGTCAATAAACTTATTAGTTGAAGTTACAGCAGTGGCGTGCTTCCACCGCTACTCTTGTATTTTCCAAAATATAAATACATATTGCGTGATTATTTTCATATTTTAACGTATTTTGGATTAATTAAAATTAATATTTTATTATAACCGCATTATGTATCTTATTACAAATTTCTTTACTACATGTGAAAAAAATGATAAGATTGCTATTGTATATTTGATATCAGTGGCAGAATGGAAGCACTGTACTGACAGCTTCCAAGCAGCCAGATTATATGCATTAGCACATGCACTTTACAGAGCACCAACCTCAGGCAGTTTAGCTGGTGGAAGCTACACACCAAAATGCTTCCAATGATTCTTTCTATCCAGGACTGGTTCTGGGCTGTTAGCCGCATGCATGCTAGATATTTGGCTGCCCTTGCCCAATAATGTGAATCGCAAGTAGATTTATAACTTAACCCAACCGATAGGAGTTTATTGGCATGTTTTTATGATAGTCATGTATAGTTGACAGGAAAAATCCATTAAAATATTTGATATATTTATTCTGCTTTTATTCTGCTCACCCATCTTGTATTACTTACAGATTTCAATGTTAAATTAGTGATATTACAATTTAGTATGTCCCATCTATAAGGGGATGCAGAAAAAAACGTGTACAATCCTACTACAATGTTAAAAAATTAACTGTTACTTTGGTAGCATCATTTACAACTAAATGTAATGAATGAGATACACAAGGTACAAAAAAAGCTATAGAATTTATTTTCCTTAAATTTACAATTTATGTTATCCGTTGTCATAAAAATTTGTCTTTCCACTTTTTTCCAGAGACTACAA